AGCCCGAGAGGTGGAGAAGAGCTGGAGGCCCAGGTACCAGAGTATCCAGGATGGTAGACAGGGGCAGGTAATGGCGAGACGTGTCCAACAGCACGCCCCGGTGAGGGAAGCGGGGAAAGTCCACAATGTCTGTCTTGTTGATGAAGAGCTGCGCAGGGCGGGATCCAGAGGAAACACCCCACAGGGCAGGAGGGGATAAGGCAAACCCTCCTGAGTATCTGAATAATCCATCTATGACTATTCTGCAGGGTAACATCTGCCGACACCTCCCGCCCTCCACACCAATGATGGTCAGCAGCATCTGCTCACGCAGGCTGAATACGGCCGCCACACACACCCCTCCACCCACAAATGTGGTTCCAACTTCTTCCACAGCAAGGTGACCTCAAGGCCATTAATAAACAATGACTTGGGGAAACTAATTAGAGTGACGCCAAACAGGCCAAATCTACCGGATCGAGTTCTCCCGCCATATCCTTGAAGGGGCCATCTCAAACCGGCCTGGCTAAGGCACAACAACTTGAACAGTGGGAGGAAACCCTCCGGAGCAGGGGTCCTCAAACCTTTTAAACAGGGGGCCAGTTCACTGTCCCTCAGACCGTTGGAGGGCCGGACTCTAGTTTTAAAAAAAACTATGAACCAATTCCTGTGCACACTGGACGAGTCGGCTGCTAAGCAGGACAGGCAGTGGCGGCAAAAAACCCCGGCCGGCCGGATAAATGTCCTCGGTGGGCCGCATGTGGCCCGCGGGCGGGCCGTAGTGAGGACCCCTGCTCCAGAGAGTGAAAAGGGGCCCCTCCCTGAGGGCCTACACTCACCGTGCCATCAGCAGACCTCCAAATGAGCTGGCTAAAAGTCTCCAACCCTGTGGAGAAGTACAGAGGCAGAGTGAAAACCGGGGAGGTGGGCAAGGAGAGACGGCGACTTGGAAGAGTCCCCGGGCAGCAGGGCCCCGTGTGTGGACATGTGGCGACAGTGGGCACCACCTGGACTTGAGTATTCTCAGCAGCCAATAAAAAGGGAGAAGGCGGGTCTCCATATCCCTTTATACTCTGGACACACTGTTTGGGCAGGCAGGACTGGATAGGGTCGAGTGCCGCTCCTTGAAGGACAGACACCTCTGTCCTTCCTAGCTCCTGAGCCTTGAACTCACAAGACTGGTCTGAAGAGACCAGGATGTGTCCATGTGAGGAGGGTCGCAGGAACAGGAGCAACAACTCATCAGGAGCCGAGCAAGCTCAGAAAGGCGTCCCCAGCCTGCGGTCCCTTCCCTTCTCCCAGGCCGGCGGTGGGTATGAGATCAGGAACTTCGGTGCACAGTTAGACCCAGAAGAGAAGGACATGGTCGTGTCTTCCTCTGCAGGGCTTGGAAAGAGTCCGGCTGTAGCGAGCTGGGGCAGTGATTGACCCTGAGGAAGTGGTCAGTCCCAGGACACAGAGTTTTCTAGATTCCAGCAAGGCCCGTGGGCAGGCGTGTTCAGTCCAGAAGGCTACGTGCTCTCAATAGCTGAAGCCACACTACCCCGCAGGACTCCTGGCGTCTCAGATTTCCAGGAGGAAAGAACCCACAGGACCTTCGGGGTCACACAGCCCTCCACTTGAGGAACACTGTTGGAGCCAGCTTTGTCTTTCCCTCTTCGGAGACACCGAGGTCCAGGACACCCTCTAACTCCACCTAACCAACCAGCACCTGCGCCCACGGGACAGGAGGGCAGAAAGCCTGGCTGGCACGTTGCCTTCCTTCCTAGGGAAGGGGCAGCGCCAGGAAGGAGAAACAAACTAACACCCGCCTCGGATTTCTGTGAGCATTCTCCCCAGCACCCATCGGCAGAGTGATTCCAGGAGTGGAGGCCTCTGGCTAAGTCGGTAGCTAAGGACCAAACACTTTTTCAGTAAGCCAGGAGAAACGGCAGGGATCTGTTAGCTAGTAACTTTTGTTCCCGCAAGAAACATCTCACTCACTCCCTGCCAGCAAGTCGATTCTGACTCAGCGCAACCCCAGAGGGCAGGGCAGCACTGCTCCTGTGGGTCTCTAAAACTGGAACTCTTCATGGGAGTAGAAATTCTCATCTTTCTCCCTCAGTTTCAAACTGCTGACCTGTGGTTAGCAGCCCCACGGTGTAACCCACTCCGCCAGTAGGCCACTAGGACTTCTTGTTGACACGGAAGCTATAAGCAGAGCCTTTTCTTCAAGGTCTCGATCAAGAATGCAGCTTCCCGCAGTGCGGGCATTAGCTGGCCCTCTCCTGTCCACCTAGCCCACCAAGGTCAGGCTTGCTCCTGCCCCTCTCCCCCAGCGGCAGCCCCACTGGTTACCTCGGAGAGCTCCCCAGACAGTCTCAGAGAGGAGGAAACACTGCTCTTCATTGATGGTCAGGGTGTCTGAAATGATAGAAATTCACTCCATCGGGTTGCAGTTTTCAACGCTCAGATGATCAAAGCAGGTGGCTTGTAAAAAACCTTGGATTAGCACAGCACAGCAAAAGAACACTTTAAAAACCTTTCAGAGAGGAGCTACGTGCAGAGCAGGACTGCTGCAGGAGGGCCAGCCTGGAGGAGCGGCCAGCACCATGGCTCTGCGGTGATGGGGTCAGCCTGGAGCCAAGCTCTGTCTCCTTCACCAGCAACAGGAACTCCTGCTGCCTTTAGCTGAGAGCAGGAAGAGCCCAGTTGGCATAGGAGCAAGGGATGCCTCCAGGGGTGAGTCTAGGAGACAAGGATCCCAGGGCCTTTGTCATCCTTTCCCCTTTTCTCCCGCCTCCAGTTGCTTTACCCAAGAATGTGAGGAAGACACCCCCAAACGAAGACGAGCAGACTCGTGGAGAGTAGAACAGCCCCATAGGGTTTTCAAGCTGTGGCCTTGTGGAAGCTGACCACCAGGCCTGGATTCTGTGGTGCCTCTCAGTGGGTTTGACCCACCAACTTTGAGGCTAATGATTGAGCACTTAACCATTTGTATCCCTCAAGACTTAAGACACCTTTTTTCTCCAGTGCAGGGTCTTGTGGAGAAAACCGGCAAAGTGCTCAAATTCCTGCAACGGATATAGAACTGTACTCAGCCCAGAAGCCAGGTATTCCATGAGATTCCACAAGCGTCCAGTGTAATGTTCCTCAAGCCACCTTTTGCTAGACCTTCTGCAGCACTCACCTTCTATGGCGCGAGGCTCTTGGTGACCTTTAATCTCCACAGCTATGGGGGCCTTCAAGCTAGAAGCCCAGGGTATGATAGTTTGTTTTTGTGTGGGCCAATATGGCACTTGTAAGAAGATACGGGTGGAGTTTAACCTGTCAATTAGGTTGCAACTTGATGACCATTGGATCCACATGACCTTGCACCCACTGTCCTGTGACCTGCCTACATTCTGCATCATCGCACATGGCTGCAGAAGTTGGAAGAGGGACTTAGGGACTAGTATCAGACTTATGGACTTGATCTGGACCGAGCTGGGAGGTATGCTTGATATATAATTACGTCTTGATATAAAGCTCTCTCTTACACATGCATGAATGTCACTGGAGTTGATTGTCAGCCTGGCCTAACACGTAGGGTTCACTATTCCAGACAAGTGTTTGCTCTTCTCGCACAGGGAACACGGTGGTACTTACAATTCTCCACCGATTCCAAAGTAGGGTACTGGTCACACCCAGGCTTGGTCACAAACAAAGTCAATGAGTTCTTCGCTGCCATCTTCTGGTTTCCTGCAAGGACACCATAAACTCAGCGTGACTGACTCGTCACCAGAAACAACAGGCAAAACCCAGTCCCTTTGGGAGGGCCTCCGTCTTGGGTCCCTTCAGTTTGCACGCCGTGCCTGTGGTACAAGGGAAGGGAGGCCATGATGTCCACCCTTGACTTTGGCCTAGCTGTCCAATTTATTCATTCTCCCGCTCAATAACCCGCCCAACCTATGAAGACCTGGATGCCAACTCCTCCAAATCTCCACTATTTCCAGCTCCTCCCGGACTGTACACAGCACAGGACCCAAAGACCCCATAGACAGTTTCTGAAGTACAGGCAGTTCCACAGCCCCGCTACTCCAAAGAATGGTGCGATCCGCAGATTAACTGTCAAGTTGCCAAGTGTGATATTGGTAAAAAAAATAAGTTTACAGCACAGCAGCTGTAGATCAATGATGTTTAAGGTAAGTACACTGTTCTAAAATGTTTATCCTAACGATATTTTCTCAATGAAGAGAACAGATTTACATTCTGGTACGTCCATCTGCATCTTGTCTCATTGCATACTGGGGCATTAGCACTGCTCTTATTGATTTTTAAAGTTTTATTGACAGAATTCACATACAACTCAATGGCTTATACATATTAAAAAGAGTTGTTCAATCATGACATCAATTTTAGAACATTTTCTTCATTCTTGTAACCATTATTATTAGCCCCCTATTTCCGCCCAACCTTCTCTGCCATAACCCTAAGAAACTATTCATCTAGTTACTGTCTATATAGGTTTAGCTATCTTAGGATTTATGCAAAGAAAATCACACACATATATATACACACACATAAACCAACAACACTAAAACACAGAAAATCCTGAACTCCACAGGAAGCAGAAAATAATAAAAACCAGAACAAGTTAAAAATGGGTCAAAAGGGAAAACCAATGGTCCAGTGTTACAGTGTAACCTCACTATATCTGCAGCAATCTACTTTCTAATGCACTCTGCTTGGAGACAGACTACGCAAGTCCCTGGTCCACGCGTCATCGATGGAATCCATGTGGGGGCGCTGCGAATGGATTTGGGGCTTTCTTTGTCATCCACAGCTTTCTGCAAATCAAGTGCTAGCGGGCCAAGGCCAACTCACAACTGCATTCTAGATCCTGGAAACTCACTCCCACACCTTGAAAGAGCAGCCAGGTTGCAGGGCAGAGACCGCTGCCTCAAAGCAGAAGACCTAGGGTCATCCTAAGCTCCCCAAGTAGGCAGGTCATTCGATAAACTCTACCTGCATCCCCAACAGCAGAGAGGACTTACTCTTGGGGCAGGGTGAAGAAAACACAGAACATGAAACCCCCTATTTAAACTATACCCCAGTCCCCTGCCTCCTTGTCCCCACTCCCAACAACACAAGTCCCAAAGCCCCAATTTCCATGTGTAGAGAATTCATCTGCATTAACTACTCCACCAGTCAGTAAGAGAGAGCAAAAATCCTAAGCTTTAGCATCAGCCTCCGGGCCTCAGCCTGCCAAACTGAAGGGAAGTTTCAAATAATCCGCTTGCATCCCTATGGTCTCTGGGCTGAAAACAAAATGAGAGGGCAGCGAACACCAGGCTTATCTTAAAGGTTATTTGGAAGAGGAACATACTTAATTGTTTTTTTCCTCTTAAATTGTTATATTTTTATTTTTCCAAAATCCACCTGGGCTCTTTTCTCCAGGCAGCAGTCTTTTCTGGGGAGGAGGTCACAGACTCTTGGAGAACTGATGAAAAGACCTTTTCTCTGAACAGAGGCCCTAAGCTGAGGCCCCTCTCTGCCACCCTCACCACGGCCTCTTGGGGAAGCAGATACTGAGTCAGGCGGTGCCTTAACCAAGCTCTGTAGGGGCAGGTCTCGGGGAGGTAGCAGTGTGGGAGCTGGCAAAACAGGAGGGACACTTCAATGATGAAAGGGATGTAAACAGAATCCCAAGCATTGCGTTTCCGGCCTCCAAGTTGCTCCTCTGCTGAGCTCGGAAGAGCAGGAAATAGGCTGGCGACAGTACAACCACCTCCACACCCGCCACACCCTCTCCGGCAACCGTGGTGTGCCCCGTCCCCCATCAGGCTGGCAGACACACTCCTATGAGCCCTCGTTGGACAGCAAGACGGCTGAGAGTTGCAAGATCTTTATTAACTCTTAGTATTATCACCATTTTCCCACCCCTTATTAGGACGATTCCATTGTTGGGCTAGACTGTCCTAGTTTCTCTCCTGAGTAACTAGAAAAAAATCCTTCCATTTGGCTTCCCCCTTCCTCCACCTGTCCCCCATCAAAATCCACTCTCCTCAGAGATCTTTTTAATAGGAAAAGCAGCTTATTATAGTCTTTACTTAAAAGTCTTCATTGACTCCCTTAGTTTTGGGGGTAACGTCTGGAATAAGTCTATGACTTCTGAGTTTTTGCATAACCTGGACCCCAGCCTTCACTTTTTCTGCTCCTGTGCAGTGCCTCTCACACAAGCGCATTCCAGACCCCCTAAATTGCCACACTGCCTCACCTGCTTCCCCATGTTTTCTTTGCATACATTACTTTCTCCGCTCGAGACAAATGCTGCATTACCCCTGCATCTTGCCTGCTTAAGAGACATCCCTGAGTTTTCTTGCCCAAACTTCCATCACCACCTCCCCTTGCTGAGAGACCTTCCTATGTGCTTAGGAAGCGGCATAGCCATATGTCTTTGAGGTCACACATCATACATGCTGTGTGTCTATCTCCTCCCCTAGTCCATAAGCCCCGCAGCAGCAGGCACCACTCTCAGGATCTTGGTGCTCCCAGTGCCTGACACATGGTAGCCATTCAGTAAATGTTTGCTGAAAAAATGGATGGTGCTGGAATGAAAAAGAAATGCACATTTAATTACATACATGCACAATGATCATGGAGCATCATCGTCAGGCATACATAGCAAACAGCTAATGTAGATATAGTGCTCTTATACACCCAAACCTAGTCTTTCTGAAGTCCTGCCACTGGCATGGGGTGGTAAAAAGAAACCAAGGCATGACACATTTAGCGCAGGAATACGGGGAGCATGCTCACACCACATGAAGAACAGAACCAATGTTGTTCATTGTTGTGTTAGTCCGGCTGGACTAGAGAAACAAATTCACAGACACTCATATTTATGTATCTAGGAAAGAGCTTTATATACAAGAGCCAAATCTCCTGTACCATACATCACCCAACCTGCAAGCCTCCAGAGCCCTGTCCCATGATTATTTAACTATGTCCGTCTGCAGCCCATTCGATCTCCTCTTTAACCAAAGCCTGGCTATCTCTAGGAATACCGCTTCTCCAGACACTGCTCAGTTGAAGTGGCTCCTTCTCACATCCTAGTCTAGCGCTGTGCGAGGGTCATCTGGGCCACCCATCCTCCACCACTGAGATACAAAACCACAAACACCCCGCCTTGTTTGCCTCTCCTTGTCATAACCCTCTGAAACTTCCTGCTCACTCTTCCTTATTACTACAGACTTTGGAACCTAGTCCCCAGTCCTCCTCCCCACCCCACGGCTCGCCATCATCGAGGTGATTTCCACACTCAGAGGAAGAACTAACCCACATTGTGGCTTGGAAGTTACCCAACAATATCCTCCTGTTTTTCAGCCACCCTCCCATGGTCACCTTTTGAACCTTCTTATTCCTTAGAAGTGTTCAAATGTATTGTCCGAAGCTTCAGTGCCATGTAGCTAAGCATTCGCCAGACACGAAATACCTCACATTCAACATGGCTAGAACCAGACTTTATGACTCTTACCCCAATCTCTCAACCTCTTAATCACTTACTCTGTGTGTGTCCTCTTTCCTACCCCACCTACTCTTTGCCTGGTTTGGGGGGATGGTGACAGAATCCAATCAAATTGCTGGATGAGATCCCCGAGTCTTCCTCAGCATCGTCCTCTGCATTCCCAAATGCTCTACCTCCTAAATCTCTCATTTTAATCTGTCTAGTTTGCTCTGTTCCTACAGCCACCGGCCTAGCTCAGCTACTAGTGTCTCTTATCGGGACCATGGTCGTTAACAACCTCTGAACTAGGTTTCCGACCTCTAGCCCGGCTCCTCAACCACGACGCGCCACATGCAGAAAGTTTGGTCACACCACTTAACGCACTTAATGGCTCTCACAGGCATTCCTTGATCTTAGGATAAAGTTCATGTTCCCGATAGGAGCTCGCTAGGCCATTTCATGACTTCGCCTCTGCCACCTCTCTCTTTTCAGAGCTGTAGGTCTCAGAAGCCAAAAGTCACTGCCCTGAGTCAATTCTGACTCACAGCGACTCTCTACAGGGTAGAACTGTCCCTGTGAGTTTCTGAGACTGTCAACTCCTTATGAGAGCAAATAGCCTCATCTTTCTCCCTCAGAGCAGCTGGTGCTTCTTGGGAAAAAGACAGGGTTTTCTACTCCTCAGAATTACAGTCTTGGGAACTCACAGGGACAGGACTGTAGGTATGCTTCAAATATATTGGCTTTTCCCCCCACACAGGTTTTCTGTCTGGAGTATTACCTCTACCCCACTAAATCTTACTTTCACATCTCATTAGGCAGTTCTATGAAAGCCTTCTCAACATGCACACCTGCTTCCCAGCCCCCACTACAGGCCAGGGATTCCAAAGCACCGTGCGTTCCCTCATCACAGTAAAAACCAGTTTACTGCAGATCTGTATCTGTACAACTCTTGTGTGCTGCCGAGCCAATTGCAACTCAGAATACCCCTATCGGACGGAGTAGAAATGCTCCCTGGCGTTACCTATGCTGTAAATTTTACAGGAGCAGATTGGCAGGCCTTTTCTCTCACTGACCTGGTGGGTTCAAACCCTACACGTTCCTATTAGTAGTCAAGCACTTAAACATCATGTAAATTCTTTAAAGATGGGGGCAGTTCAGTGTATGTAATAATCCATGGACCTAGCTCTACTGACAAATTATGGTGTAATAAATACTATGTGCACTAAGGATGGATGTGTGATGAAAGGGAGGG